TTGCCATAGTTACCATTTGTGGAGTGGCCTCTCCTTTATGGCCATCTTTCTGGTTTTGCTCACACGTTGAACCAGAAATACAGCAACAAACTCATCTGGGCGATCAGAACGTCATCACAAAATACTTGAAATAATAAGATTATTAAAGAAACCACGGATAAGCTGAAAGGTAATGCTGCAGGAAAGGTGAAATATGTGGCTTCAATCCATGAAACACCACAGTGAACTTTGTATAATTCTAAATAATAAGTCCTGATATGAATTCTTATCTATTTTCCACTAAATTAAAAAGGAGACAAGTTCTTGTTGCTGCAATTTAAGGAAAATCTATTTACAACTGTGAGGCTTAAATGAGGTTTAAAACAAACCGATAGTTGTAACAGAGCTTTTGGTTTTATCTGTTATGATAATCATCCAATTCATGGAAATGGAACCTCTTGATTAAAAAAAGTGGTTGAAAGAAAATAGCCTAGTGGTTGTACATCTGATTGAATTTTAGATTTAATTCAAGATGGCTGCCACCGCCAACAGACCTTTTGAGATCTATTGGGTAAAACATAAATATACTGTTCTCAACACATATTTCAAAACCTAACACAGCTAGTGAGATCTTGGTGAAAACATGCCCACTGTCCTAAAACTCCTGTAATGAGAACTTTATTTACTTTAAAGGTCACAATGAGGAATCCAAGGATGATAATCAAAACTAATTTTGTATATAAAACAGCTACAGTGAATACTTATGTCTAATTAGTTCAAGTGATAAAATAGAAGAAATTGATTTAATAACTTTTGTGTAACCTGACAAATAATAAAAAAAATTCTATTTAAAGCCACAGGGCTGTTCTAGGAAAGAAAATAATCTTGCTTATTTGTGTAAAATAGCTGCTGTAAAAATGTTTAAGAGATAAAAATGCTTTGCATAGTAGATTAGTGTATTTTGTGGGCATGTGTGCAAGGGCGTAACTTTAGGTCTACCATTTGGGGTGTTGTGTTGTAAAACCCTGCATTTCATTTTCAGTAATTACGCTAGTACATACAGTATGTGACATTGTAGATGTTTAAATCAGGTCAAAGTGACCTAAAGACAACAAGAGAGCTGTTAATTTATATTGTGTTTGAGAAAATAATGTCATTTTACTAGGGGGGTTATATTGACTGGATCAAATTATTGTGGGCGTCATAACCCCCCTAACCCCCCCCAACACACACACACACACATACACACAAATTACACCTATGCACGTGGGGGACAGGCTGCTACGTCATTGTTCCACTAGCTCCAAATCTTGTCTACACATCTACCAAAAGAGTTTTTAAACATCTCTAGAAAAAGTTATTTTAAAATAACTGGTTTTTACCAGTTACAAAYGTTTGCATGTAAATAAGATGTGCAAACGCAGGAGAAAATGTTTGTTTCTGATTAAAAGTTGACACAATGAAATTAGTAAACCTGAGAAAAGGGAGTCCTAAAATAGGACCCTGTGGAACACCACAAGAATTGTGTGAATGTTGAAAGCAACTCAGTACAAACAGCAAAGATTCAAGACTCTGTTGTAGCTCTGCAACAAATTACTGCAAAGAACAACAAGAGCAAATATGTGATTCTGTTGTCAATTTCAACCAAGTTAGAAATTAATAAATCAAACATAACTGTAAATTTTCACCCTACTGCATTAAAGCGTTTTTTAAATCTTGTCTCATTTGACATATTTCATTTGACATTGCATTGTAAAGCAASTTTCTCTTGTTGAACAACTTCCTACCTATAAAGACATGTTTGGCATTTATCCTAGCAGCAAAATATGACTGCATTTACAGACTGCTTGGTCAGCATGAACATTCACTGACCCCCACCCAAAGAATCCCTTCTTTYAAAATACAGACAAAGGAGCCAGCATTGTGTCGTTCCTTATGAGTATTGATATTACTAMTGACAGTAATTATTCAGACTTGGCTCCTTTAAGACTCTGTTGTCTGAGAATGACAGAACATTGCCACTGAAGTAAATTATGTTTCATCCAACTGGGTGTTTTTATCGCTCACCTGCTGTGGCGAAAGACTAGCAGCCATGTGATAGGTCATGTTTCCATCTATGTGTGTTTTTCTCTGTGTTAGTAAAATATCTCATGAACCACTAAAATTTTACTGAAAGTTTTAATCATTGGTGTACATCAAAAACCTTCTAGAGTCAACCCCATTTAGGTTAGACACAGCTAATCAGACTTAGCAAACACAATAATGGCTGTAACTTACAGATACTGAGCTGAAATTTGATGKRATAGTGCTCAAATTTGTATTAAAAATATACAATTTAAAACATATCACAATTCTAATTGAGCTCAGTGTGAAATTAGTGTACCAAGGAAAAACACAGTTAGAAACTAAAGTGTCAACTCTGCTTTTGATATTTCCCGTTAACTTTGGCAGACCCGTGGCTGAATTTACTTCTTTATTTTCTCATCCAAACAATGTTCCTTGGTCTCAGCAGTTAAAATACATTTTCTAATTTGTGATATGACTGATAGCCAAAGCAACAGAAAAGCACGACCATGGATGTGAGAAACCTAATAACCCTTTAAAAAGCAAACACGCCAGTATTTTCAGTGTTTCATCTTGTCTAAATGGGGGTCTTAAATACATGTGTGTGTGTGTGTGTGTGTGTGTGTGTGTGTGTGTGTGTGTGTGTGTGTGTGTGTGTGTGTGCAGTTCCAGCACATATAGTGAGCGGTACTTCGGAGCGCTCATGCCCACGCTGGAAGATTTAAATGCGAAGAGGTGCTGATTAACACACCAAATTCATACCCACACCCAGTCACACACAGTCACAYGGCTCTAACTAATCCAGCCATGTGTGCCTGAGAGATAAGGTGCATCCTGCATACTCTTTCTACATATTCTCCCTCCCTCCTTCCCTCTCACCTCTTCCCAGCTCCCTCTCTGGGAGAGTAGCACCTAATTCCCCYCTAATTCTCTAATCCTGAGCAGGGCCACTGCACGTATAGTCAGCAGTGACCAGGCAAGTTTGCACAGAGCAGCACCCCAGAAATGTTCTCTTTTACAGTCAATACTAAACTTGTGAAGAAAAGAGGGAAAAACACAGCCAACACATAAGCATTTTTAACCAAGAGTTTCAGTTGTCTCATGAAAGCTTTTTTTTAACTGACGGTTGACCAGAGCTACCAATTTTTGCAAATCTTAAATGAGTCCTCAAAACAGGAACTTTTTTTTATTTCACATTTTTCTGTTATTTCTTTTACATTAATACAGATGCTTTTTGGCTGGCTAACTCTCCAATAGGCAGCGCTACCTTCTTCATAAAAAAAAACAGGGTATTCATAGGCTGTGTCCAAAACGGCAGGACGGGTCCTCCGAAGGTCGAATTCGTCGGCCGCATACGTCACAGCGCTGCGACGAAGGACGTCCAAAACAGAAGACTCCTCCGATGCGTCCGACAAATACRTCCTTCCTTTGGCCCGAATCGAAGGACAGGTCYGATGGATCCTTCCCGGCCCAGCATATCCCATAATGCATTGTGGCCCGACCGGAGAATTTTTTTAAGCTAGTAATGGCGGACGAAGCGAGAGAAAAGAACACATTTTAAATAAAAATATGGTGATTTAAAAATTTAAAAAAATTAGCGGTTGTAATTCTAATACTTTTATCATTTGTATGGACATGTTTTTAAATATTATTTTTTCGTCATAAAAACGCGAAACAAACATGAACCTACAGCGGGTCAATTAGTTCTTCTAATGATACCTTTAAGTTAATTTTATAGTTCTGTGATATTAATAATGCTAATGTATTGATATTTTTCTAGTTTTGATTTAAGTTTGCTTGTTTAGCGTCGTCACAGTTGCTAGGTGACATGACGTACGCCGGGGTAAGGAGGGGAGGCTAGACCGTCCAAATTCACAGCCTCTTTTTTTCCGGTCTTCCCGGTCTACCAAGGACCCGGCCCTCTGAGACCGGGGAGTCTGGGTCCTCCGGAGGACCCGGCCTGTCGTTTTGGACACAGYCATAGCCTCAAACAGAAAAGRGGGAGTTCCACAGCCTAGCAGTAAGGAGGCCATCTTGAATTGAGTTGACTTCAAAAGTTAATCAGCTTTAGATGTAAGTCTAATAATTACTTCCATTGAAGTCCACCTAACAGTTAAGAGATATGTATTTTTGCTAGCAAACAGATAGTTTGTTAGCAATTTCAATATCTGTAAAGTTGTCTGAGTTAGACATTTTTAGTAAAGAAACAGAAAGTTTAGTTGTAGGTGTACAGTACATCCAATTATTATTTCCCAGGAGTCTTAGTTCAATCCTTTATAAGATATTTTTGCTAATGCAACAGAAAAATGAAGCTGCACATACACATATAGATGCACAAAAACATTATTTCACTATTATGTTCAGCGGGTGGGCGATAAATAGTGTAATTCCAGAAAAAATATGTACAAATACATGGCCTTTCACAAATCAAATYCATTCACAAGCATTCCTCTGTTTAGAAAGGTGTCAGACTATATGGATTTAGACAATGAAAGGTTTGTCCAAGATGTCTATGCTGAAAACAGAATTTAAAAATAAAACTAATGGAAGCTATAACACCTGTACATAATGTATGGCTAACAAATAGATCTGAGTAAAATAGTCATAACAAAATTTCCTTAAGTCAGCATAAGTTCTCTAAAACTTTATATTGTGACAAGACCTTTAAAGGAAGAAAATAGTATTTTTTTAAGTTAATTATTCCAAAACTGTTGGATTTAACACCCTTATTCAGATAGTTTCTAGTTATTTCGAATATATTATTTGCTACAAATCATTTCAGCATGATTTTACACTCCTCTGGCATATTATATTATAAAGCAAGATAACTGCCTTTGAATTCTAAATCTCTGTCTTTCTCTATGTGCATCATCTTATCKTCTTGTCTCATAACTGACACGGTGTCACTCACAAAGGAACTATAATAAACTTAAACATGGTTGTGTACAGAGACTGACCAGAGCACAGAGGAGGTCCACAGCTTCCAAGATGAGCTCCTGGTGACCTATTCTGGTGACCCCAAGCTCCTCCAGCTCCTGATGGGTGATGTGCAGCAGCTGCTCTCCCCCGATCTGCTCCCGCTCAAAACTCTTCACATACTGCTGGAGGCAGTCATCCAGACCTGAGGAGAGGACAGCACAGACACACTTTAGGATGGGCTATCTGGCTTCCTTCAATACAGCCAATGGCAAAACATTTGGGCCTGATTGGTTTAAAGAACACTGAGACTGTTCAGAGACACAAGAAAGGGGTTCACAAAATATCTTCACAGATGACTGTCATCTTGTTCGAGCCTGAGAGCAGATGTTCACGTCTCTGTCTTCTTCCATGAGACAGAAACTAAAGATAAACACCAGGATAAAAACAGATGTTGYTTTAATGCTTTAGTGGCGAGTTATTAACAGTCACCAGGAAGCATCTGTTGATGCACCTACAAAAAAAATGTATACACACRCATAAATATATCACATCAGCTATCATCACGTTTTATATGTGGGGCAGACATACTGGATTTTTAGGTCAGTGAGGGGTTGGTTAGGATTCTACCATTCACATGAACTGTAAAAGAATTGAGAGTGTAGTTTGAAGACAGTTTGAATCCTCTTGGGTTCGAGCCAACTCAGACTAGCTGTTCTGGACAATTCTTATCAATCCTGTTAGAATTAACCTCTGTTAAGTCATTCAAAGAGCTATCTACAGCAGGTAAAATATTAAAGGTTCATAACTGCCTTGGGGGCATGTTCAGAGTAAAAATGTTGTCTTCTATTCACACAGGATGTAGGTGTGTGAGCTTCCTATGCAAACAGTTAATCACATAGTTGAGTGTCAGATACTACAGATCAGCAAGTCTACGGCTCTGAATCCAGCAGAGTCAGCAGAATGCACATCTCCCCACAGACCTAATGAACGAGCCTGCTGGAAAACGAGCAAAAACATACAAAAGGACACATCCACCCAGCCCCTCCACACACACACACACACACACACACACACACACACACACACACACACACA